GGTGGGGCGTTGCGGCTGTTGTTGCTGAGGCAGCCGCGGCGGCAGCGCCATGCATGGCGCCGGGCCGGGTTGGGCTGTTAGCGCTGCCCGCGCGTTCCGCTGCCCGCGCGTTCCATTTACCAATGCATTTCCTGCGTACGGTTACAACATTATGAGCAGCTGGGCGTGTTCAGTTTGGGGAAGATTGGGAGGGAATCTCATTAGTGCATACAGCTATTTCAAAGGAGGTTGCCAAGTAGATAGTGCTAAGCTCTTCAGTGTGCCCTGCGACAGGACCAGGAGCAATGGGCACAAACTAAAACTCAAGAAGTTCTTCCTCAATATCGGAAGAACTTCTTTACATTGAGGGTGGCAGAGCACTGTACCAGCCTTCCCCTGGAGGTTTTGAAGTCTCCCTATCTGGAGGCATTCAAACCCCACCTAGACACATTCCTGTGTCACTGGCTGTAAGTGACCCTGCCTTGGCAGGGTGGGTTGGAATAGATCATCTCCAGAGCTTCCTTCCCGCCCTAACAATTCCATGATTCAGGCTAATGGTTCAGGTAAATAACATTCCAAGACAGCCTGTCAGACAGCAGGAGCTAGTTTGGCAGCAGAAGTTCCCGGGTGTTTCTGGTAAGCTCAAGGGTGAGCCCAGGAGCCATGAATCAAGGCTAAGGCCTAAGGAGAATTCCAGAGTGGCCCAGACTGAGGAGTGTGGCAGGGGAATGAATATACCACAATAGACACCTCATCTTTTCTTTCAGGTGGGATGAGAGTCAGGCTTTCTCTTTCTCAAAACGTGAGGGGTAGAACAGGACTCAGTGTGTCTGTCACATTGCAGAGGTGTGCTCCCTCCAGCCTTTGGGTCCAGCAGTGGGTGTTTCCTGAGTGAGGGCAGTCACGGTGGCAAGTGTGCTGCTCACATCCAGGTGGATAAAACGCCAGGTCTTTTAGTGCTTGTCTTGAGCTGTCTTTGTGAATCTTCCTGACTGTAAAGATAAGTTTATATTAGGTTTATTTTGGTGTGACACCATAGTCAGAATACCTATGAAAACAGAGTAACAGTGACATTTTGTAACAGTTGTCATTCTGGATTTCTATAGGTGTAAATGAGATCTGAATTTGCATTTGTTTGGAAATGAATAAGGATGATGATAAAATGAAAACTAATGGGACAATATTTAGAGAATAAAAACAACATTAAACATGAGGACAGTGTTAAACAGGAGGTCAATAAAAGAGCTTTCCACTGATCTCAGGACAAGCCGAGTTCCAGTCCAGCACAAAGCTACATTTACAGCAATCAAATATAAACCCATTACCGCTTGGGGGATTATAGCTTGAAAATCTGTATTTTCGAGGTTTTTTTCATTTCAATTTTACATATTGTGACACAATTGGGATCAAAGCAATTACTTGTAAGTACCTCACTAGCTTTTTAAGAAATTTTCAGGCATTAAACAGGCTTGGTACGGCAAGTCAGAACTGTTCTTTGTCCTACAGTGGTTCTGATACAGCTACTGCAGTAGTGAAGAAAAGAAAAAAATAGTGAATAAATATGGACCCAGGACAGAAATTAGTTGCAAGAAGATTTGGACAGAGCTGACAGAGTATTTTTTTATCTCACCATAAAACTGAATTTTGCCAGTGGAGAAACCTTAATGCACTATACCCAGTTTTCAAATGTTTTGTAGACATTCTTCCACTACTCTCGAATTTCCTAGTCTATAAACTGATATCTATCAGACACTGAGGTAAATGAAAGCCACCTTTCAAATTTTCCCTCTATGCTTTAATTCCTGCAGCAAAAATTATTGGAAAGGTGATGTTCCCTACTTGAAGAAGAACTTAGGTGGCTTTTTGATGGTTCCCCCCACCCTTTTTTTTTTTTTTTTTTTTTTTTTTTTTTTTTTTTTTTTTTTTTTTTTTAGCAGTGAGGTCCCTAGAAATCACTTAGTGGAGAGCAGGTTTAGAGTCCTTCACTTCGGTTTTTATTCTATCAGTCTAAATCTGATTATTTTGATGGAATGAGGCAGAGTTGCATAAATTTTTAGAGATAGGAGCATAACAGTTGTACTTCATGCTTCGTTTCACTTACATACCGAGAACCACCAAGCCTGATTATTTTACCTGCTTCATCTTCACTTGTTTTCTGCTTAGATAATTTGAGCTGAATATTGATACCAAAGCATACACTTTACAGACGTTGGGAGTCGGGTTTCTTTCTTTTGTACTTACAGATTCTTTTCCCATAACTTGCTAGGAAACTAACTATTGTGTACTTAGGGGTTCTTAAGAACACCAAAAGAGTGGCCAAACTCAGGGGAGAGGGGAGGAGATACCTGGAGATTTGAACAGGAAAAAAGACAGGGGTAGGGAAGCTGCTAGAGCTCTCGCTTTGGGTTTTGGAGGAGGACAGGTGGGCTGTTGCCTAATGCCAGAAGGATTCACTGTCACCACCGTAGCCCAGTCTGGTACTGTCTCGCCCCTTTCTGCCCTGCTGAAAACTGGGCTGTTGCTATTCCACCCCCGTTGCTCTTCGGCGCTGCTCCGAGCTTTCGCTGCACTGTGGCCCCCGCCTCCTGCTTGCCCAGACATCCCGCAGTTCCAGCCACAGCTCCGGAGCTTCTGATACATCTTGCTACCACCGCGGGATTTTTACTCATTCCTGCCGGCCCTGCTTGTTGTTTCCGTACGTGCTGCCGAGCAGCGGGCCCGGCTGCCCCGGGCTTTGTGCAGCAAAGCCTCTGTCCCATCCCTTCCCGTCGGGGCCGAGCCGCCATTACCGCGTGCGGCCCCAGCTCGCGGCACAGCGCCCCCTGCCGGCGCGGCGGAACCCCGGCCCCGCCCACCGGAAGCAGCAGCGCCCCCGGCGGCCGTGCCCGGATCTGCAGCAAGGGGATTGCGCCCGCGGGCTCCGTTCGGTGTGAGTGCCAGAGCTGCTGCTGTTTGTTTGCTTTGTTACACACACCAGTAAAGAACTGCTATTCCTAGTCTCACATCATTGCCTGAGAGCCCCTTAATTTCAAAATTATAATAATTTGGAGGGAACTGGGTTACATTTTCCATTCCAAGGGAAGTCCCTGCCTTCCTTAGCAGGAAGCTGTTTTTCAAACCAGGACAGAAATCTAGAGCAGAGCAATAAGATGATACTCCAAGTTACATTTTATTAGGAAGTTATAGTAATTTAAAAAAAAATCCTTACACACAAATACATAAAATCTTTAAGAAATAACAAGATGTGTGAATTCAGTTTCCTAGTAATATAAATGCAAGATATCTGTGGCTGGGCAAAATGTAAGTGCATTCTCTGTAATTGCACAAACTTAATAAAAAAACAGACAACAAGACTCTCATCCCAGAAAACATATGGCTTTAAAGTGTTTAATTTCATATAGTTCCACAGGCCAGCATCTTATGCTGAATTATGTTGAACACTAGAAGTGGGTTTGTTATTGACAAATATATTTGTTATAGTAAAATAATACACTATCACAAAAAATTGTCAGCAGAGGATTAAGTGTCCCAGAGAGATTTGTCATTGTGAATAATTGCACTTAACCTGTAGGATAATACTAGTAGCTAACACTATTGTCTTTGTTATTTCAAAACATTTAAAATTTTCTTAACAAAAATCCATTCTATCCCCAACACAAAACATTCACTGAATGCAGATTTAAGATAACACAATATTGGACTTCAATTGTGCAACATGAATTTCCTCTTTTTACTTATATACTAGAAACATTAAAAAAATTAAAAATTAATGATCTGTGCAGAATGGGAAGCCTTTATGAAATAACTGATACCTCATGCAAAAGAGGAAATAATGTAAAAAAAATTACGGTCTAAGAAGCCCTGAGTCAATAATTTCATTTAAAAGGCGAGGAACGTGAGTGCTCCAAGTTCTTCCTATGTATTGGTGTGTATTCAAACCAGTCCAGTATTTAATTATATTTTAAAACAGGTGGTTCTTGCAGTTTCTCACATACGAATCTTCAGTGTGCTCCATTCCTTCCAGCAGGCTGTATTTAATACTCGATTTCATTTAAGCTGTCAGGATAGCCTGATGAGAATTGAATTTCTTCCACTTCTGGAATACAAAGAATGAAGAAATACTGTTATTTTTTTTTATTTTTGTCATACATAAGCATAGTTACAGCAGAATTTAATTAGCATGCTGGATTTAAATGGGACTGTCATGTGGAAGTGCATAGCCACTTTACTAGTTATGATTCTGAGGATGATCTCACATCCTATTAGAGAGTAAAAGTTCTGCACTAACCCAGCAGCCTGATACTAAATTCAAATGGGGACTGGAGGGAAGTATCACCCACCTGCAAAGAAGCACTGTGAATTTCAGTTGTCTGTTACAAAGTTGAAACTTACCCAAACAAGGTCCTGTCTGAAACAGAATATCATCAATAGCAGTGTCACTTCTTATTGACACACCGCGGATTGCCTCAAAAATAATCTGTAAAATAAGACACAAATTTTCATGAATCCAAATGGTGAAAGGACTGAACAAAGCAGCCATTCAACCTATTCAAGGGATACTCTTTACCCCCTCTCCTGCCCTCCCTTCCCTCCTCCTTTCCCTTTTGTTTTCCCCTTTCCTTAGACAGACCTTATCATCCCTTCTCCTTGCTGCTTCCTTATAAAAACCACCCTCCAAGAAGCTGCCATTTCATCACAGCTCAGTGGCTGTGTCAAATCTGGACAGGGCTACGCACAGCTGAAGGAAAGGAAATTGCACAAATGATCTTGAAAAAGCCCTACCACTACTGACAAAAAATGATGGTCTTTAGATTTAAAGTAGCATTTAAATACTTTAAAAAAAAAACCAAATTGGTAACTATTTTCCTACTTTCAACCTATTCACATCTTTAATAAATCCCTCCCTAACTTAATTTGTAAAAAATTACATTATTTCATGTTCTTCATGTGTCTATTCAATGCCACCTACATTTAACATTTTAGTTTATTACTTTTAAACAATACTAAACTTTGATTCTAGTACATAGTTTGCTTCAATATTCCAATTTGACTGCTTTTTGCTTGTTTTTCTTACCTGGTAGTTTGTATCACTTTCATATTCTATCAGTCCCCTTAGCCATGAGATGCTTTGTTCCCCTGTCCTCCTCCACAATGGTATCTCTTCATCAACTCCTTCCTTTTTTAGATAAACACTTAATAATCCAGTCCCAGATCCATACATATGATAGAAAAATGTCAGGCACTGTTTTCCAGATGTTCCTCTTAGTGATCTTGAAACTAGGTATGCTCTCTGTCCATAGACCATATTAGATGCCTCTATATACATGTAGTATCCTTAAAAAGATACAAAAGTAAATATAAGCAAAGTAGGATACATTGTGTTGGAATGTTCATTATGCTCAACATGCTCATTATATTAAAGAAGCCCAATGATGGAAACTATTTTGATAAAGATTCATAGACTTGTGCTTTTGTAAACTGTAATGTTAGAGATACTGTAGTAATTGTGTACTGCAATAATGATGGGTTTGAATTTATAAAGCTAAGAGATGATTTAGTCTTTCTCACAAATATATAGTATGATTCAGTCTTTAGAGAAAAGGGAAGTTATTTTATTATGCTGTAATATGAGCTCTAGGTTTTGATTTTTAACTGAAGGAACTTTCTACACCTAATGAACAAAGTCTTTGTAGTGTAGTGCATTAGGTTTGATATAAACCAGCTTTGGAATTCTCCAATACACTGCATGAATGATGAACCTACAGCTTGTAGATAATCCTCCTTTTCACCCTCTCTTGACTGCTGCTTGCCATCAAACTACAACGTGGCTTAGAGAGGATGTCTTCACTAGGGGTTTGTGCAGAAAACAGGATTCTTGAGTACCACAAGAGATTCTCAAGCATCCACTGACTGCTGTTGCTGCTCTCAGCCTTCTGCCTGTCTCACTGATCCTTGGGAATTCCCTCTCCCTCTGAAGACAATCTCACCCCCAGGACTTGTGGTGACAGACAGGAGGTAACACCACAAAGAGAGAGCATTGGGACTGCATGAAGAGTTGCTGCATTATCCAAATTCACTGTCTGCTGGCAGAGCATATATCTCAAAACAGAAGTTGCTTTCTGCAGCAGATGGGATGTGGGGATGCTCTTCAGTCTTCTGACACACTTCAGTTTGCTCCAGCTGGTCATAACTGAGTGATGGAATAAGAGGCATGAATTTGCCTTCCACCAATTAATGGCCAGAATCCTTAAAACTTGGTTGTATCTGTCGAAATACATAGCCACAGAAAAGAATACAAAGAATAAATTATAGCTGCTCTTGCACCAGGAATTGCACTCTGATAGAGATTGACTCATTGGAATTCAGAGACAGCTGCATGTACATCTGAGGGTACACTTTAGGCTATGGTTGGTGGTGATGCAGTTTTCTGTGCACTCGTGTTTAATGGAGGTCCCGCCTGTCTAAATACTTGAACTTGCACTAGTGAGCTTGTGGAGCACATTTTCAAGATAAAGGGCTTGTGGGATCTCTTTTATTCTTCATATTTTCTTTTAAGTTTGAACCCAGAGGTGTTCATGCAGTAGAATCCCAACCACTTGCACAGCTTGCTGCTAAGAGATGAACTAAGGAATAATCATTGTCACAGACAAGGCTTAAAAGGCTCTCAGTTCTAAAGTCAAGCTGTCAGCCTCACTTCTCACTACTTAATGATCCACATAATCTGAAAATAGGTCTAAAGTTACTTTCAAGGAATGTTCACACAAACTGGGAGTTTGGAAACAGCTTTTTCTGTGGGGTCTGGACAGTCATCATCTTCTTTAATCTCCCAAGGAACAGGCTACTTTGGGACATGACAACCGAATTATCTACATGGCCTGCAGATAATTCAGATTAAATGTCATATTCTCAAAACCACTCAGGAGTTCCTGCAGAATGTGCTTCATTTGATTAGTAACCTTTCTGAATAGAAGAGTTAAAACTTTATCTTCTGGGTTATCATTTAAAATATTTAATAATTATTTTTTATTAACTATCAATCTCTGTTCCGAAAGTTCAATGTGGAACTTAACTCACCTACCCCAGTAGTGTGGTCTCCTTTGGGTCCAGTGTAAGAAGTGGGAGTTGGACCCCTCTTCCTGTGCCAGCTCCCACGACCTCTCTTCTTCTGGGTAAACACACACTCATCTTTTTCAAAGGTGCATTCTCCAGGACTGGGCAGCAACAAATCTGTTAGGCAAGGACATAGTTTAAGACTTCAAATACATTAGACTGATATATGGAGAGATTACACAAGTAATGTATTGCATTTCCTCAGCTGCTGACATCAATTACAGCTATCTGGCAATGCTTACAATAGTCAACAGCTCATATAAACTACCTTCAAATGGTCATATAAAATTTAATTTAATTTTCTTCACATCTTTGGGAAAAACTGTGACTTACTCCAGTAGCTCAGTGACTACGATTCACTAGTCCTAGGATTCTTTAAAACAGTTTATTAATCTTCACAATAGTGCTTTGGACTAAATGATCTTATGGGGTCTTTTGGTTTTAATGGTTGGATTCAATGATCTTAGAGGTCTTTTCTAACCTTAGCAATTCTATGATTATATGTAGGCTTTGTTATAGAATTACTAGCGTAATTTTATTCACTGTTTTGGCACCCCAAGCAAGTTAGTAAGTCCCAGCATCTATAACGTGCATAATAAATGAGCTTTGTTCAAAGACTGGAGTTTCTGTGAACTGAAATCAATGCCACATTTATCTCTCCTCTCTTTCTTTGGCACCAGATTCTACTGCAGCCTGGAAGATACAACAGAGGTCCATTATTAGAGTATTTTCATTATTTCAATTCTATTAGATCATACAAAATGTAATTCAGGTGCAGGCCAGGAAGCTTCTGTCAGGTAATCTGAATTCATCATTCAGAAGAAGACATTTTGAGCTGCCTTCACCTTTTGAAGAGGAGGAAGCCTTGATACCTCTGGTGCATTTTTCAGGCATTTGTTTTGCTGCCATCAGAGACAAGTCATGGTATGACTACACATCGAGATACCAGTTCTTCACCTTTGGTTCCTTTTCCAATTACTTACTAATTACAGCAAGGCAAAACAGACAACTGTTGGAAATAGTTTACAAAAATTGGATCTTGTTTTGTAAACGTGACTTCTCTCTGTTTTATTAGCCTGAATTCATGAAATCCAATCAAAAGAGATCATTAAAAAGCTGTAAGGACCATTGCAAAGGCATGGCTTTATTCCAAAGAAGAACAAGATTGTAGATTGTGACTGCTTAATGAGAATGGTTTTTTGTTGTTTTTTTTTTTTAAAATTATTATACAATCATTGTATTGTCAAACCTCACAAAGTCATAGAAGAGGGAGTTTGGTGTGTTCAAAGAGGCTAGCCTGTGCATGTCAGAGGATAAAGTTTTGCTGAAAACCATTCAGTTCCTCCCACTGCAGAGAGAGTCATGGACTGCTCTTCTCTGTCTTCATCAAAGAACTACAGCTCAGGCTGTAGTCTTGGCCTTGCACAGCTGTACTTCTCACCTAAAAATAAAAAAGCTTTGTTTTGAAAAGTACTGCTTTGGGGTCCATTCCTGGCTTCTTAAAGACCATTTGAAAACTACTTTTCACTCAGTTCAACTGTGGGTTTATTTTAATGCAGTCAAAGGGCCACTCACCTATACACAATATACAACTGCCTTAGAGCCACTGAAATTTATTAGGAGTTAGCTGATACCCCTGTGAGCAAAAACTGGTCCTTGCTGGATGTTTTTTACTTCACAAAAATGGGCTTTATGCATTACTTGTTGGAGAAAAAGAAACAACACAAAACCACAACAGGCTTGCAAAATGAAGGCGTATGTTGAATTCTTACTCAAAAGGATAGCAGCTACTGGATGACAAACACACATGGTCTTACCAGCAGCCTGGCAGCTTCCCAGGCTCAATGATACATCATCCAATGCCACAAGTCCACAGTCCCAGAAGCTTTTACACCAGCTGACAAAGACAACCTGCAATATGAAGGAAGGAAGTTTCAGGAGCAAAACCTGGCACTGTTAAGAGTCTGCAATATTAGTATTTTTTCCAAATGCACTGATAATTTCAAAATTTACAGAACAGGAATAATGGATCCACTTTGTTTTGGCACTTTCTGCCAATGGCTGAAATGTCCATTCCAGTGGGACTAAATGTATGTTTTCAATCAACAGAAAAATATTTTCTCACTTTTGTGGGAAAATTATGTATATCTGTATGTAATTCCCATTTTACTAGAGAATTTTTTTGTCTGTGAGAAAACATGACTCATTGAGGTTGTGGTGGTTTTTTCTTGCCCAATACCCAACATGAACAGCTCAAATATCCTCAGCTATCTTATCCTGAAAACCAGGAGGTCTTATCCATGGAAAAATAAATTTGAAAGAGTAATATGGAGTGATGGGCAAGAGTGGCTGTAGCAAAAGCAAAGAATTAATAGAGCTGAACTGAAACTACTGCACAGAATGGGATTATTCATAAATGACTCAATGCCATGATATTGTAGAGCAGGAGACTTGAAATGTTATGCATAATTCACAGCGTTCATCAGTGTTTGTGAAGATTAATAAAACATCCAAGATCATTGATTTGAGTAAACATTAATTCTGCCATGTAAAATACAAGTCATTCATGAGATAATAAAATAAAATGTAAAGAAACTGTAAGATTCTCAGTTGCACTTCTGCCAAAGCCAAGACAGATCTGTCTGAATTACTGAGGACAATTTAGGATTTATTTTGTGAAAACACTGCTGGAGTTTTTCTTGGACTAACTACTCCAAACCATCTGTCTGACCACAGGGGTTATGACCATAATTTGGGAGGAGCTTTTCAAAACAATTCCTTTGTGCTGAGGTCTATGCTAGTGATTGCAGATGGATTAGTGTCACTTCTAACTGTTTAATCTTCTGGACAACACCTCAGTTACATATTGGAGGTTAAACTGACTGACAAGTTTCTTGTGGACACAAAAAGGCTTTTAAAAGTTGTTAGAGCATTATTTAGTATGATTTCTAGTAGGCTTGGTAACACCTTCAGTGTGGTACCTACATGGTATTTTGCCATTTTGTTTTGTTATGTAGTATTTATTAACTCAACTGCTTATTAAACAGCCTGGAATGTAACTACACCAAAAACTTTAAAGCATGTATGCATAATGCTGCCCAGGGGGGAGCAATTTTTGAAACTCCTCCATTCAGTGCTACCAATCCTGGTTATTATTGATTATCTGTCTTGTAAACTGCCACTGGTATAGAGTTAAGGAGTCCTCCTGCACAGAATGCAAAACTGCTCAGCATATGGTGGCCTAAACCCCACACCTTTTTTTTGTTCCCACTGTAGAATTGTATCTTAGCCTCAAGGTTTAGAAGGACAAAAATTGTTTCATGCTTTTTAAGTTCATTGTCAGGACACAGGGGCAATCCTTTAAAAACAGTAGCATCTCTTGGGAAAAAAGCATAAAGTAATTGTAAAATAAAATACTGACATTGAGTGTACATCATTCACCAGAATTTTAATAAATGCATTCTGGTGAACATTGGTAATGAACTGAAGATATATTATACCTTAAATCCATGAATCTTCAGAAAAACCACACAAGTAAAGGTGAAGTCAGTCCTCCTTTGTGAAACAACATTTCCATACTATGGAGTCATGTTTTAAGCAATGCTTTAGTATTGACATCACTGGGAGCAGGATTAAGTTCTTTATTCTTAGATTGCAGTAATTTGTTCCATGTAAGGTATGTAACTACCCAGTGGATCCTGCAGAAAGCCTTCCATTTCAAAGGCATTACAACAACAACAATGGTGGTCTCTCAAAGGCCATTAAACCAGTAATCTTTGTACAACCAAAGGACTGATCTGTTTCAGTGGCAACTGTACATTTGTTCAGCTTTACCATCTGTAGCTTAAGCTTCACTATCTTTCCACTTGATTTTTGTGGTGTTGAGGGACACACTGCCATGAGCAGACTTTGTAATTTCACAAGGATGAAACTACAAAGTCTTCTGCTTGGGGGTGCAGAGTTTTCAGTACTGGCTGTAGCAAATGTACCAAAATTGCTACGGTCCCCTCAATTTATTTTGTTGTTATATTCTTGATTTAGTTTTAGGCAATGGACTAGAACATTTTCATTCACAGGTCAAATTTATTCACTCTTCTTCTGGTTTAAATATCCTTTTCTGTCATAAAGCAAAAATCTGAGCATTTGAACTTTACCTAACAAAATTGTAACAACTTGGATTTACTCAACTATTCACTTTCACACTGAATCAGATCTCTGAATCCTTCCTACAGTCTCAATAGAACTAATCTCAAGATGCTTTGCATTTGTTCTTGTTTTGAATTAAAATATTTGCTAGGTCAATTTTTCCAAAATAAAATTTTATTACTTTATCTCATGCCTTGGAGAAGAGAATAGGGGATTCTTTGTTCTCAGCTTTTTTCGTCATAAAGCATGGCAGATGAACAACATACTGATTGTTTCAATCTAGGTAACTGATATTGCTGGACTCGCATGCTATTTTGGAGGCTAAACTAAAAACAGTATCCAGTGCAGGCAGTTGTTGCCTATGATACTGAAAAATAAAACATATCTCTCATGTCTCTTTTTGTTCCAACAGCAGAACACAGCTAGGGCATCCATTTCCTTCCAGACCATTGCCCCAGCTTACGGAAGCTAGTTTGTTTATCTTGCAGTGCTTCATAAACAGTCCTGGCCTTCAGTCTCAAAGTATCAATAATCCTTTCTTAGCACTTAAATGAGGTATGAGCAATGCCAGATGAGAAAGGCTGGTCCAGCAAGCTTCTGCCAAGACACCATGTTGGGCTGTGCTGCAGACACTGGGTGAGGTACAAGGGGTTTCACATCCTTAGCACTCAGTGACTCTACAAGCAGAATGTGAGTTAAAACTCACATGCATATTAAGTTAATCTGCTTTTAGAGAAGAAATAGAAGGACATTCAGAAAGGTACCTCCAGGATAAGGAGGGACTAATGGGCTCACTTGCTATAGGAGATTTGGAGGGAGCTGGGCTGAGAACAGGAGAAAAGGAGAGAAGATCCTACTTGGATCCCTATTTGTTCCGTGCATTTTCTTTCCTCTTTGTTTATCCAAGAACATACACATCTTGCTCAATTAGTCAGATCAACAAAACAGAGGAAAAACATGAAAACGACCCAATCTGGTGACTTAAAAGTAAGCTATGCCTCTGCAGCAAGGTAATTTATCTCATTCCATCTTCATGAATATTCCTAGATTCAAATTACTGTCCTGGAGAGATTCTATGATGCTGAATTTTATCCTCCGTCATCTGTTCTGTTTATGCTGAATATTAAGTTCTGCACCTTTAAGACTGGTTCTGGGAGGGAAGGAAGGAAAGAAGAAGCGCCCAGTTTGTTTTCAGAAACTGTACTCACTGCTCCATGTTCCTTCTCATGGACTGCTTCAGTTTGGTACTCCTTCATTTTAGTTAGTTGTTAGCTAGCTGAAGCACAGAAGTTCCCCTCCTTAGCTTCAAGAAAAGAGATTTTTCATTTTCTTGGATCTGTGCAAACCTGCTCTGGACTGAAAACCCAGACAAACCCCAGGAGCTCACACCTGTGGCCACCAAGGGGCTGGGATGTGGCAAATTCCAGTGCTAGAGGGATTGGTAAGAGACTGAGCAAGCCAAACTACACCCCACGACAAGGACTTTCTGGATTTGCCATCTCTTCAATCAGCAAGAGGTTTTATTGTTTAATATTATTCATTTTTTTATGCTTGTGAATACTTTGCTTGTTAAATAAACAATTTTTGCCACTTTTCTCCAAAGAAGTATTTTCCCTAACTAGTTATGGGAGAGTCCACTTTAATCAGCTTTCTAGAGGTACTCCTTTGGAAGTTTCCTCCCAAATTTGTCCTAAGCCAGGACATTGACACACTAAATCTGTGCAGACACAAAGCTCGGTCTGTCACTTAGTTCAATTCAAAGTTCAATTTCCTAAAGAAGAAGGACGGTTATAGTGGAGTCTGAGGTATTTTTTCTGAGAAGCTACTGTTGTAACTTCCTCACAGTGACACAAAACTCAGTCTTGCAAGATCAAAAAATAATTTCAACACTGGAAACAAAAGTGTAACCTGACATGAAGAAGCAGTCAAGATGTTTTCAGAAGACAGGCAGCCTGACTTTTCAGTCGGTTATGCAAATAAACATCCATGTAAGTGTGTAAGCCAGGGACTGACCACACAGGGGATGGGAAAATCATTCTGACTATCTCAGGGCTGTTCAGTACAGATGTTTTAAGTATAGACCAAATTGCTCATAGCTAGTTTAATAAAACTAGATTTCAGGTGGCTTGTATTTCTTTAGCTTAAACAATCAGAAACTCATTTATCAAGAACACAAGTAAGCTATTAAGCCAAAATTAAAGTATCTGCAAGCTTCTGTCATTTAAAATAAACTGATTTAAAATGGCACTTGCCAGGCAAGTTCAATTTCTTGCCATGTAAATTCAACAAAGCTTCTGTGGGAAAAATAATGTAGTATGAAAGCTTCTACATAAATAATTGCGTAACGTTGGTAATAAGCTTGTGACATTGAACAAGTATTTTTGAAAACCTTTCCTGTCCAAGGGCAGAAACAACACAGGCTGTTTGTCCTACATCTCCTCTTGCTGGATCAAGCAGCCTAGTAGAGAACACTGCCTACATGCAAATATGTACAGGACACTGATATTCTCATATGTCTCCCACCCTACAAAATTTCCACAAATCTACTCTAAGGGCTCTATCCTCATCAAGTCAGTTTCCTGTCCATTAAGGATCAGAGATACCAAAAGGAGACATGTAATATTTAAGGCAATGCATTGCCTTGCTTAGCTACTGTGAAGATGAAAGCCACTTTTGCACTGCTTCCTGACCTGAGTAACCTTTTCAGTTTCCAGTATGCTGTTTTCATAACCAAGTATCAAGCACCACAGGAACTGAGGTTCACA